GTATGTTCGCCATGACAATCCTACGCCAATTCAGCCAATAAAATATTACGAGTCACGACCGATCGTCATTTGAATTGATGGAGGACCAAGCGATAATTTCATTGCCCGTCCAGTCAACGGCCTCTCCTGGCCGAGCAATGAAGGGACTTGATAAAATGAGACTCCAACGACGCATAAGAACTATGCAACGACGCACAACACTCCAATGAAAGCAAAATTAAACAAAGCGGGACTCACTCTGACGCCGCATAACCAATGCAACAACGAGTAATGTTCTCCAATATAAGTAATGCAACAGACAAATCTCATTGCCAAGTGAAGATGAAGTTCGACCTCGCTCGAACTCACAACGGGTTACGATTTTGACCTCGCTCGAATTCACACCCTTTACGGCCCCCGACCATCGCCAAGTGAAAGTGAAGTTCGACCTCACTCGAACTCACAACGGGATACGATTTTGACCTCGCTCGAATTCACACCCTAACGGCCCCCGGCCATCGCCTAGTGAAAGTGAAAATCCACCTTGCTCAAATTCATACCCTTACGACCCCCCGCCATCGCCAAGTAAAAGTGAAATTCGACCTCGCTCGAATTCACACCCTTACGGCCCCTGGCCATCGCCAAACGGAAGTAATATACGAATTTACAAGTCAAAACTGACTTCGAATTTACAAGTCAAAACTGACTTCACCCAAGCGGGAAATTCTGACTCCGATCCCACTCAATCAAGCAAAATAGAACTGCATTCGAGTTCCCAATCGAAAATCAGGGACTCATCGTGGGGAAATCCGAAGATCTCTTTAAAAAAGGGGGGGTCAAAAGATATGTAACCAAAGGCAAAGAGACTATTTTATTCAAAAGATGTACATGCGCAACAACTGCACCTTACAAAAGGCCAAAAACGGGACCCAAGAAAGAGATGAAAACAAAAAACAAAAACTAAGTACAAAAACTGCAAAAATCTTTTCACTCGGCATCGTCTCCACCGCCGTTCTCCCCAGCATCGTCGTCATCAGAAAGAAGCCCATCTCCAATCTCAGCACACTCACCGGCATCCAGTGTCACAGGGTCATAACCACAAGAAAGACGAGCCTTGCGTGCCTCCGCCCGAACATCTTCAAAAGAGGCCTCATGGACGCTCCCCGCTTCCTACGAACCCTTGTATATATCTCGTTGGGCCTCAGCATGAACCCATAGCTCATACAGACGGCAGGGAATAGTAGTAGAGGCAGATTCTTGAGGGGAAGCCTGAGCTAATAACTGCGCCTTCTCGGCCTCAAGAGCCGCAACTCGGTCTCCTAGGCTCGAGGCATCCCGATCAAGTTCACCAATCCGCTCTTCGAGCCACGCCTCCCTTAGTGTGGCCGTCGCCATCTCAGATTCCTGCTCTGACTTGAGGACGAGGATAGTGTCCTCTAGTGCCGCCGCCCTTGCCAAAGCCGACATTCGAGCCCCCTCGGATCTCTCCAACTCGGCCACCTTCTTTTCTAGCTCGGCCACCTTCTCCGTCCATACTGCACTCAGATCGGCGACTCTAGTAGCATTTTGCTCAAGCTCAGTTCGTAAAGACAGAACCTTCGCCTGAAGGTCCTCGCACTCCGCGACAACCGCTTTGCCCACCTCGAGCTCCTCGTCTTTGGCGTGAAGTAGCTTCTCAAGCTCGCTGCATTTGCGGATAGACCACATTAGTTCCTCATCTCTTTTCTCCAATTCCTCCCTGATGGATTGGGTACCAACGCCAACCCTAAGCTGCTCGTGCATCTCACGCCACCTATTGCGATACCACCGATACTTCTCGGCCATTTTTAGAAAAACCTCAACCCTTGTCTCGGTCCTACGAGCACTCTCGATCTCATCAAGTAAGTCTAAAAAAAGAGGGTAGGAATCAGCAAAGGCAAAATAGCACAAAACAAAGAAAAATGGCCAAAGGAAGCTCACCCTCAAGGCCATCCCGGCCACGCCATGTGACAAAGCGGAATCATTGAGCTCCCGAAGAGACTCGCTTTCAGCGGCGGAACACAGAAGGTCGAATTGAGGCACCAAATCCACCGTGTCCTCCAACAGGTTAAAATCCGATGGAATTTCGAGTATGCAAGAAGGGCCCTCCGCTCTTACGTCGACCCTAGTAAAGCCCTCCTAGAACATGCTCATGTCCTCGGGATCAATGTCAGAATCGGACTCATACTCATCCACCACGACGCCCTTCAATCTCTCACCGGCCGAAGATGGGGTGCAACCCGGTTGAGATGACGATGAGCCACTCAGAACTGTAGCGGCAGCCTCGGAACCCCGTCCCTCCACTACGGTAGCCTCTTGAACGCTTGCAACGAGCATCGCCTCCTCACCCAGCCTGGCACCACCCCCAGCTTCGGGCACCATCAAAACAAGGTCACCACTTGAGGGCGTCTCAGCTAAAGAAGCCCCTTCCAAAACTATCCTTCGCCTCTTCGATGAGGCCTCTCCGCTACCGACGCGAGAAGGTTCACTTGTCGCATGGACTGCGGAGACCGGAGTCTCCTGGCGAGGAGCAACCTCCAAGAGCACGGTTTCGGCCGCAGGTGCGTTTCACTGAGCAACCAAATTCTGTACATCTTCCTCCGTAGTGGCTCTTGATATGGGTCGGGTAGAAGGAGCCGGTTGACGGAATCCAAGCGCAGGAGCCCTCGCCCTTCTCACTCATCTCCGACCTGCTAACGTGAAGAGATTCGGTCAAACAAAGATAAGGTTATAAAAACTACGGAGCAAAGAACGAAGCAAGACCACACGAGCCAACTCACCAACAAGAGGGTTGCGCCCAAACTTCTCATGGAAAGGTGCCTATTCACGAATCCCCATCGTGTGGGGGAGAATTGCGCTCATCCACTCGCGGATATCAACAACTAGCGGGGGAGGTACTCTCTCGGCTACAAAAGCAAAAGCAAACCCTCAATGAGATCAATAAAGGGAGACGACCGGCGACCATCTTAAGAAAAATTGCATAAAGTAAATAAGAAGAAAGGCTTACGAGCGAAATTCCACGTCTCAGGAAACCTCACCGAATTCGACACGACGTGCTCTGTTCGGACGTAGAAGAAGCTCTCCCAAAAGTGGCGATTCGCCTTATCGTCCATCTTCACCACCAAGCTCTTAGCTCCTCGGTGGCATATGTGAATCATCGTACCTCTAAGAAAATGGGGGGCGAAGAGGTGAAGCAAGTGTTGTAGAGAAATCCCTCGGTCGGTCGGCCAGCTCCGCGTACTTGATAAGCATAAGAAAAAGCTTGTACGCATACTGAGAGAGTTGAGCCGGACGCACCTCATAGAAACGGCAAAAATCCACCACCAAGGAAGGTAGAGGAAACGTGTTCCCGATGACAAAGGGATAAGCATAAAAAGCGCAGTAGCCCTGGCGGTGAATATGCACTATGTCCCGACTCGCCGGAACCAGTTCAATTTGATCAGGGATCCCCCATTTGGCTTTGAACGCCGTAAGCGCTGCAACATCCATCGTAGAAAAGACGGGTTCCGGCTCGTCTCCAGTAGGGCTGTTAAAGTCTGTCCTCGCCTTCCCAGGGCGGGGAACCACCTCATCTACCGTCGGGAAACCCTCGTCTTCCGCCATCTCCACTCCCCCTTCGACAGGGGTACGTCATTTTCCGGCGCCGGAGCACTAACAGGTCTATCAGAGCGGGAAGGGGCACTAGCCATATTTTCTTTGATCAAAGGAAACGAAAATGGTAAAGGAAAAAGACAATGATCACACCTAATCGTAATAGAAGCAGAAATATGAGAAACTAAAGGAGAAGAAGAAGATTTGTAAAGTTCTTCCTTAAGCAATTGGAAAGCGTAACATTCAAATGAGAGGCCTCCCCTATTTATAGGCACAAAAATGCCCTGAGCAGGAAAACCAAGGGCCGCCAGTTAGAAAACGGGAAGGGCACGGGAAACGACACAATGCATAGAAAATGTGCACCATAATGACGCATGAGGAATATTGATGACATTCTAAACTAACGAGACGGTCCGAAGCAGCTCTCGAAACGTCACGTCGCTACCTCGCCATGAGGTGCTCGCCCCTCGCAAAAAGCGTTCAGATTTCTCCCAATTTTCGGATCGACAGAGTCCACCCATCGAGTTCGCCAAGAGGCGACCCCAACGGGCGGAGGGACTAACTGTGTGGGTCAAAATCTGACCATACGCAGATTAGCGCTTAGAGGAATGGCAAGGGGTCGACTAATCTGTGGTCGCATCTACAAGGCGTAATAACGACGAGTATCTCGTCCGCTGCCAAGATCGAACCATCAGAAAGCTTGTACGACAATATATATGCCGTGATACTTAGAGGGAGCGACATAGAGTACAATCAAGGGATTGGGGTATTCTGGCTAAGGACCGTTGGACAAAAGGGGATACTGATAATATATAAAGGAGGTAAGAAGACAGAAAAAGGGGGCTCCCACCTAAAAGAAAAAGAGACAGAAGAACCAGAGAGGATCTGGGAGGGAAAACAAGCGAAGGTCTAGATCTTGGTTACAGATATTTGTAATCATCATCGTCAAATCAATATAGATCCCGTAGCCGCCAACGGTATTTTTTCTATTTCTTCTTTGTTCTTTTATTACGGAAGGTATCCCAAGAATGTAAGCCTATCATTTACGTTTGATGTCTTTTATAGTCTCAAAAAAGTTATAAACTCGATTGTATTTCTGTTTTCGTATTTAACATGCTTTGATCTAGAGTTAATTATCCTTGACCAGGATTCACCCTCTATTTTCTCATTAATTAGCTTAACAGAAAGCTTAACACTTTTTGGTCAAACAAATATCATGCATCTATTAAGCTTATCATTATCAATGTCAACCGGCTAAAAATAGGCACCTCGTTTTCATTTTGAGCTAATTATTTTCTCTAGATTTGAGGGGATGTATTCGTTTTCATCTATGCCTCTTTACTTATAAGCAAACGAATGGTATTTAACGCCGCATCATATCTTATTTCTTGTTTACTAATACAGGCCCGCGCTTAATCCACCTATAAAAGGTCGGTAAAATCAGTTAGCAGGTTCATTCTCTCTGTTGGTAGCTCCATGTAACTGAAATTTCTCAATTTCGACTCCTGATAGAGGGACGAACCAAGATTCAGAAAGGAAACGGAAGAAAGAATGAAGCGAGCTTCGTCTTTGCCCATATTGTACGTTCTTGTTAACCCTTACCCTTTTTCCCGACAAGTTCTTTTGCATTATACTAATTCTACTTCGCTCCGTTCTCCACCATTCTTTTACTTTGACAGGAAAACTGTTGAAGGAACTCATCACGTAGATGTCAATAACAAAGGGAAAGCAATACTTGATGATGAACTCGATGACGATGAGATCATTGACTCCGAGAAAATTAGCGAACCTGTCATATGCAAAACAATACAAAAATGGGAACCCACTTCACGAGGTAGAATAAGTTACTGTTTTCTCCTCCTCTGTTTATCTCTGTCTTTTTTCTTCCTCTCATTTGGTATCAAGAATGTGGTTTTTGTGGTGTAATATAATCCAGCTTCCCCACCAGAATGAGGGAATTTTCTGTTCTCTTGAAATTTTTTAGTAGCCCATCAAATTCAGGAATTGTTTGAAGTTCTTGGTTGCCCACGTTATAGAGTATTAATTCTGGCTTAATGTGTCAAGATTCTCATTACTTGAATTTTTCCAGACTGATTCATCTCATTGTTTTATGAAACTTGGGTATACGTGTTTTGAGCAGGGGAAGAGTTTTCTTGGGAAAAACAGGGTATATGGAGGCGAGAGCAGATAAACAGAGCAGCTAGATTAGAGAAACAGCTAAAAGCAAGATGGGCCGTCGACGGGCTAATTGAGGAAGAACTTAATCGTTTTCGGGCCCAATACAACACAGCCATGGTCCCTACTAAGCTCAAAGATATGGCCCAATTAATCATGCCTAAATGGACTCCTTCACCAGAACTAGCCACATTGACTTGGTTAGGCGATTGGCGGCCCTCCACAATATTGGATCTTCTTTGTCACTTGGCTCACTCTTCTGCTTTAGAATCAGTTGCCATTGAGGTGGCGTTACCGCAATTGATCAACGAGTTTCGAATTGAAGAGGCAGTGATTGATGAGGAAATGGCTGAAATCCAGGCTAATTGTATCTTCCATTTACCATTTGGCCCAAAGAAAGCCCAAAATAGAGAGCAAGCAATGGCTTGCATTCAATCTGAGTTTAAGAAGATCCACAGGGTTATTACTAAGGCCCAAAACCTGAGGCTAAAGGCAATGGAAATGGTGGTGAAGAAAGTGTTAAGCAGAACAGATGCAGCAGAATTCTTGGTTGCATTTGCTGGAATTCAAGACTTAGTTCACCAATGGGCTACCCAACAGAAAATGCGCAAAGATCCAGTTTGTATACGTACTAAAGCCCTGAAATCTGGTGGCTCAGAGACGCAATAAGACGGCCCATGATCCAACTTAGAGCAGTTCTAACTCAGTAAAGTAGGCCCATTTGAGTAAAGGCTAATCATATGATGATTGATGCTTTTCCAAATTACAATTAGTACTCGGTAGCACTTTTAGGGGTTGTATGCGTTTAGGATTTTTATTGTATCTTTTGGAATGATGCCTTAACTTTAGCATTAGCTTTTTATGGGCAGAAGCTTTTGAACTGTACTCTTAAACAATCTAGTGTAATTGCGTATATACTTCTAGTATTTCAATTCCTAACACTTGAATAGTTTTGTATACGTATTAATATCATTAATCTTGGCTTTATTGAAAATGAGAAATTTCTTACTAGAATTAGTACCGTGATCTCTCATATTTCGAATATTTACACTTTGAATCTCATGCCTCTATATCCAGAGGCAAAATCAAAATTTGAAGTTTATGGGTTTGAGATTCTGCGCTCTAAATTAAAAAATTCGTATATATTTAATAAATTTCTTAAGACAATATATAGTTTGAACTAAAATTGCGGGATATAACCAACTTCATATCTCACATATTAGCTCCGCCCTATCTACATCTAAATGTTTGGCTAAAAAAGTGCTCAATAAGTACATTTTCAACCTATTTGAGATGTTTAATATGTTCTCCCTTTAGTTTAAGTGTGAATTTTTTGGTTAAGTTTAAAGACTCATTTTTGATCTCTTTAGCGTTAAAGACATATAAATCCTTATATTCCAGACAAACATTATTTGCGGCAACATGACGTTGTACTCTCACAACCTCCACCATGAATTTCGGGAAGGACATTCAAACGCTCTCCTTTTAGCGCGTGTTTGTACTCCTTTTGCCCACATCAAACTTTCCCATCTCTTTTTTTCCTTCATTTTTTTATCTTGATGTCGCCGAAGGGACACAATTCCTCATCTCCACTATATAAAAAGAGAAGCACACCACAAAAGGAGACCACGATAATGCAAACCAAAGCCACCAAGCTAAAAGGAGTATCCCTCAAGAAAAGCTTCGAATCTCAAAACCTTACATCACATGCAACTCACAAAACCCTAAACCTAATCTCTTAAATCGGCTATCGTATAATCAATCTCTTTCTCAATTACTTTGAATTAGATTGAAAGATTGTTGTGAGTCGAATTGTTTCACACGGAGATTAAACAATGTCTGCAATTGTTTGCGGCAAGAGATCTTTCTTTGATGATTTACAATCGCCGTCGCCGACTTCAGCGTCGCCGCCTGTCTCGAAGAAGCTTCGCTGTTCTTCCTCCACTTCTCCCGTCCGATTCTCCTCTTCGTCGCCGCCGCCGCCGTCCCCGTCCACGTACATCGATCAGCTGAGAGCTTTGTTTCCTGATATGGACAGTCAGGTTTCCCCTTTTTCTTTTTAAATCTTTAGAATTTTGTTAGTATTTGTTCATTTTCAGTAATCAATTCCAAATTCATTTTTCTAGTTGACGATTGAACTGCTATCTTAACCTTTCATTTCCGATAAATGTGAAATGAATTTGAATCTTCAAAGGCTTATAGTAATTGCTTCGGTTATGTTTACTACAAATAATGTTCTTTTTAAATCAACATTTTAACTACAAAAATGGCAAAGATGCAATTGGCTATGACTGTCTAGGTGCTTAGACCCAATTGATTATTTATTCTGTTTTGCTGTTTGTTCTCCAAGAGAATTTCTGATGTTCTGAATCTCTTATTTACTTTTCAGCTTATTAAGAAAGCTCTTGAAGAGGGTGGCAATGACTTGGATGCAGCTATTAAGAGGCTACATGAGCTTCGCCTTGTGTATGCTGGTGGTAAGTCAGTTACTGATGGAGAGATGGATAATGGTACAAAATAATTTTTCCCTACTTTGATGCTCCAAAGTTTTAGTTCTTGCTCATGTTTATTATTTCTTGCATTAGACATTGTTATCCCATTTCTGAGGTTGGAACGAGATATATGTATGAGAATGTGGTTGATTGCCTCATTAATTTTATGTTGTTGCATGATTGTTGGGAAACTACAACTCTATGCCTTGCATCAGCAAAAATTATATGGTTGGATCATCAAAATTTTGTTGATAACTAATTTTGTCGGATCAACATTAATATTCCTAAAATGGTGCTTTGCTGCTGTCTCATATGGACGCTGGACATTAGATTTTGTAGTTCTTTATGGTCACTGAGAGAACATTTTCACTTTTATGAGAAGTTTCTAGCTTTGTCAAAAAAAAAAAAAAAAACAGTAGATGGAGCCTAAAAAAAACTAGTTGGGGTTGGCTATATCTGTTCAGCTGTATTCGAGCCTTTTCATTCCAATAGATGAGCAAGAAGGTAGCAATAAACTTAAATTGGAAAGTAAGTGCTTTTTTATCCCCCTAACTGCATGTCTATACCTATATTTGTTTCTATGAAGTTGTATGAAACTATTTATGTGAGCTCTCAGGTGTTTTAGATAAGTAGCCCTCTTATGTTTATCTATTTGTATAAAAATGTTAAGACCACCCGTGTTTGTCCACCACTTTTTGGACCTTATTGATATACCATGCTGTTTCTCCTGAATTATAAACCTTACCAATCAAGTCTCTTTGCAGGAGAAAAACCAGCTAGTGGCCCAGATGTTCGATCTGAAGGTCCTTCTTTCCAAAATAATCTTCCAGCTGATGGTGCAGAATGGGTGGAGTTGTTGGTCCGGGAAATGATGAGTGCTACAAGCATAGATGATGCTAGGGCTCGTGCCACAAGAGTGTTGGAGAGCCTAGAGCAATCAATTAGTGCACATGCCGGTGCAGGAGCAGCTCAAAATGTTCACAAGGTTGGTATTGGATTTGTGTGACCGTTAGATTTGTAGGTTTGAGCTAGAATAATTATTTGATGTCATTGTAGGAGACGAAATTGTTGACTTCCACATACTTCTCTTTTCTGCTATATTTGCTAAGCTTTCAACAAAAAGATATACTGAGTATGCCTGTGCTGCTTCAGTTTTAGTGCACTATGTCTTTTGCTTTATTGTGGTACTGTAGTGCTTTGTGGGTCTGAGTACAACAATGCTACTCATGTTCAGTAATTTACCATGTTGTCCTAATTTACTGGCATTCACCTACAATTCTTTTGGATGTTGACCATGTCACTTCTTTTTCAGGAAAATATGATGTTAAAGGAGCAAATTGAGGTGCTTCTTAGAGAAAATGCAATTCTCAAACGTGCTGTTTCCATCCAGCATGAACGGCAAAAGGAGTATGATGATAGAAATCAGGAAGTGCTGCAATTGAAGCAGTTGATCGCTCAATATCAAGAACAATTAAAAACGCTTGAGGTAAAAACTGGAGCTTTAGAGACTAACTTTTCCTGATGCGGCTCACTTTTTTCATCTGACCTTTTTAGTTTATTATTGATATTTCCTGGTGGTGGTCTTACTTTGCATATTGGTTCTCATATTATCGAACAAACACTTAATTCTCATATTTTTTAGGAGTAGTTGGTTAATACTATATAGTCTGCATTGCAATAATATACCTCCTCCATCCCATGTCATGAAACTAGGCATAGGTAGTCTAAGTTAAATTGGATTTTGTGTTACATTAATAGTGGTTCAAAACCTACTCCTATTTAATTGTTGGTGAGACTGAATCTGATAGAGAGGCTACGATCTTTAATTTTGACACGTAAATGGATTTACGTTTTTGAATTTTGTGAAAGTAGTATTAAATGATATTATTAGATATCTAATTGCAAATATTTTTGGTGTATCAGAATGCAAAGAGTGTTATAAAGTGGGATAAGAGTGAGTATAATACAGTGTTGTCAAAGGTGCGCTTAAAGCGCGCTTAAAACCTAAAGCGAGGCTCAAAACATGTTGAGCGCTTCACCTCGCTTTGAGGGCGCTTCAATGTCGCATCAAGGCTCTGAGGCATACTTTTCCTGTTCAACGAGTGTAATCCTGAAAATGCGACGACACTGAACAATTGATATTTTACTTTATCGTTATTTTTTCTTCAATTTTTTTGTCCATATATTTGTTATTCATGCTTATAATTATTGATCTTGGACTACATATACATATTTTTACTTTTTCTTCAGTTGCGCCTTTTTTCATTAAATAAAGTCCTCCACTTTATTTGCGCTTTGCGCTTAAAGCCCCAATGGGCCTTGGAGCTTTTTTTGCGCTTTTTGCCTTTGATAACACTGGTATAGTATATGTCATACTCTAGGCCTTCAGAGTAATAATTCTGCTTTTGAGAATGCCTGCTATACTTGTTTATATTGGAAGCAGAGATAATCTAGAAAAATGCAACATTTCACTTAAAAATGATTGAAACTTTGGATATTATACATCTATATTGTTTGGTGAAGCATTTTATGTCATTACTCCAAGCTAGTAGCACCTTTATTTTTACGTAAACAATTTTCAAAATATTGAGATAAAGATCTTTGCATTACTGCTATTTTGCAGTTCACATGTATTTTACTTTCGTCCTTGTTTTTAGACTCGGTGTGCTTTAGAAATTTTGCAAACCACTGTGTAGACCCCTTCCATATGCAAACATGAATAAAAATGGGAAAGAGTGTGTTCCTCTTTCTGTTCTCCATGGAATGAACGGGAACGAGATTGTCCCGTCAGAATTCCTAATTCAGTGGTCATCATTGCAGGTGAATAATTATGCTTTGAAAATGCATTTGCGCCAGGCTGAGCAAGGCAACTCTATTCCCGGACGCTTCCATCCAGATATCTTCTAGTGTTGAGATACATTCAGATAAAGATGTGGAACATACAAAGAATCAAAGCCCGTTGGCATCTTGTCAGCCGTGATATAGGATGTATTAAGCGAATTCTATACTAATATTGTTTTTTAGATTGAGAAATGATTTGCATGTTGAGTTAAGGCCACTTTGGTTGATGATCCTGATTAAGTAGTGTTGGAATGGGCATTATTCAAAGGGTGAAGGCCTCAAATATGCTAGTATAAGTGATATCAGGAAACTGGAGATTTAAAATGTCTTATTTTGCTTTCTGATATTCATTTTCCCATGCCTCTAGCTATTTCATATTCAAAATCATCCACTTGATAACCTGTTCTTTATAATAGGCTCAATCTGATCCACAATTTTATTCGATGGATGGGTTGCATTCCATCGTAATTGTTTCCCTATTAGTGGTGTTGGACCAATGTGAAATCAGAAAAATTACCCTCATTTAGTTCAATGGTAGTAACTAGTAACCATGTACTTTGGCAGGCAGATGAAGCACTAAAGTATACTCTTTTATGGCAATAACGCACCTGGTATGAGTTCTGGTCGAAAATTTCTTTTAGCAAGAATTGCTGGATTCGGGAGAAAATTGATAACAGAAAGTCCGTCTGCATTCTGGGTCCCTTTAGTTGTATCTGATTCTTGTTCTATTTGGTGGTAGAGTTACAGAGGGCGATTAAAGTTGGAGTAAATTCAGTTGAAAAGAAACTAACCTCTTTTACTTTGGCAGCAAATGGTCTTGAATCTAAAGTCAACAGAAAAAATGAGAGTTATCTCCGATTTTGAAAAGATCAAAATATCATAGTACAATTTATGAATTTTTTTTTATTACTCAGCTAATCACATAAAAGAATAGCCTGTCCTTTTCACGTTCTTCTCAAATATTTATTGTTACAATTATCTAAAAAAATTGCATTTATAATCATTTTCTCAGTTAGAAAAAACAATTGTGAATGTCTAAATAGTTTATAGTATATAAATCTGAGAGGTTTTGAAATTTTGTTGTCATCGAAAGATTATAATTCAAATAAATTTTTTTTTCTTGCTCAAAAGTTTCAAAGGATTAACTGAATTTAGCGTAGAGGAGTTGTGTTAAAAAGTAAATGTAACTTGGTGAGAATTTCTACTGTATTTCACAGTGCAATATAAAACGTGTTGTATAATAGAAACGCATATGGGCATTGAAGCGCGTCGCAATATCGGACCACATCTTTTGGCTCTCACCTCCTGTGTCTATAGGAAAACCATTCATCTCTTTCCTTTATATATTCTTTTTTCTATTTTCCCCAATTACCCAAATACCAATTCGGTACTATAGTAACAACGGAATGACCAAAATCAAACGGTTCTCTCTCTTCTTCATCTTCTTGTGAAACAGTTAACTACTCTCGACTTCATTCTACCCCATGAACTCTACGGCAATGGCCAGCACAGCTTCTCTATCTCTCCGCCCTTCTTCTCTCAGCTTCACTACCTCCGACCGCTCCTCCCATTGTCCCTCGCTTCCACCTTCTTCCTCTTCTAGTTTCTTCTCCGGTGGGACCCCTTTGTGGACTCACAAGAAGCTTATATCTCTTTCCTTTTCTATTTCCTCACAGTATAATAAGAAGATTTCAGCACGACGCTTTGGAAGATTGGTGGTGGTTGCTGCCGCTGATTATTACTCCACTCTTGGGGTCCCAAAATCTGCTAGCAGTAAAGATATTAAGGCCGCTTATCGAAGGTTAGCTCGCCAGGTACTGAATCTTTCGTATTGTTCCAAGATATTGGCATTGATTTATTTACATATTTCCTGTTTATTTTTGCGGAAGCGGATAAGTGTATCTCTGGTAAAATTAATTTAAGGTTTAAGAAGTGAACTAGCAGGTTATTTACTATTCAGTGGTCTTTCAATGGGAACAAGAGGGGAAGTTGAAGATTCCTAGGGACATGCCCGGGAATAATGTAACTCAAGTCCAGAATGTATGTAGATTGGGTTTGCAAACATTCTGATAATGGATATTTGCACTGAACTCGTGAATTAGCAGATTAATTGATTTTTAGTCTTCAATGAACCCTTATTGGATGATAGTTGGCACCTTTAATGCTTACTTTTGATCACAGATGGAGGGAGCGTTGCCACTACACATCATGAAGAATTATGATATATTGCCCTTGTATATAGGATTTTGAAATAAGTAACCTAGTTGCGGGCCATAAAATATATGCATTTTTTTGGATAGCGCAAGTTGCTAATTATAGATTTCCGTTTCTATTTCAATTATTTTGTGCTACTCAATCTGATTTTGTATGGTTGGGACTGTCTCTATTGTGATGGAGCTTAGACTGAAAAGATGTTAGTAACGCGTTATGAATCGTTGGTCTGCATATGGCATCTTTTTCTTTGTATTTTTTTATTCTTTACTTTCTGTGCGCGTCCATAACATACATACTCTAGTAGGATGATGAATCTTATGCTCGTCTTACAACTACAGCTACACTTTTGCCCAGTTCATTGGGCCTTCACTATTAAGATAGTTCCACAGCAATACATTATTCTATTCCCCAATAATCTGTTACTAACTTTGATGGTGTTTTATAGTATCACCCGGATGTCAACAAGGAACCTAATGCACCAGAAAAGTTTAAGGAGATTAAGGATGCTTATGAGGTAAATATGGAAGTTTAGTACTTTTAACATCTGATCCCAGGCAGTTTTTCTTATTTCCTTCTGAAAATATTGATCTTCTGGTATACGTGGCTTTTATACAGATTCTGGTATTGTCATCTCTATATTCCCCCCTCTCCCCTTTGCTTGGTGGAATTACTGTTTATCCACTTATTCAATCTGTTTCTTCATGTATTTACCTTTGAAACTGCAATGGTCGTCTGTCTGCTAAATCCGAAATGATCCATTTTCTCACGTACTTTGCAAATGGTCTGCTTTTTAACTAAGGTGGAAGTGCCATATTTTATCTTTCATACTATCTAAAGGTTTAGAATCCTGCTGTTAATATCTTGACATATTTCTCCTTTGTTTTTAACTTTTTCATGCGATTCTGAAGTTTTAACTTTCCAGGTACTTTCGGATGACAAAAAAAGAGCATTATATGATCAATATGGTGAAGCCGGGGTGAAAAGTACGGTAGGGGCCCAAGCAGGGGCTTACACGGTATGCCATAAATTCTTAGTTTTTGTGTTCCAAAAAGATAGCATAATTTTCTTTTTGTCCTTCCAGAAATTAATATTCACTTTCTTTAGAGGGGAAGTTTCAACTCATGTTTTCTGAACACAATACGTATGACCAACTTTTACTCTTCTTATGCACCAAGTGTGTTACCAATAAACAACTCATTTCCAACTTTTTTCTTAGTTCCCCTGCCAATTCCAAGTAGGACTATGGAAATGGGACAGAGAAAATACCAAAAATCATGGCTTATTGAAAAAAGAAGTACCAAATATCGTGATGATAAATTTTGTCACGTAGTAACTTGGCTCCTTTGATGGGAAATTTTGACATTTCCTTTGCTCAATATCGTATGTTTAGTTCATGCTTTTCTCCAAGTATGAAAGGGTCTGGAAGTAGTTATTTCCTTGGTGACGTTTAGGCGTGCCATCTATTTTACCAAGCAGTTCTACCATGTTCTTGTACTAAGCTTACATATACAATATCTACAAGTTTTGGCAATTACAGATTGCCAGTGTTTGCCCTTCCCGCAACTGTGAGTGCTAATTTTTTGCCTTTTCCTCGTCTCACCCTACTTGAAGAAGAAAATATATTACATTGTGAATTGAGAAGGTTTATAGATTCTTTTGGTTTCATTCAATTTTCAAATGGGAAAGAGTGCTGTTCAGTTATGTTGAATGGCATGACACAGGTAATATCAGCAAACTTTGCCATTCCTCCTCCCACCACTTAAAAAGCAGAAAATGTATTAGTTCAACCAAGATTATGTATTAAAAGAAAAATAGCCTATGAAGATAAATATATTATCATTTTATAAATGGAATGCGAACGGAAGAAGTTGAATCGCGGTGATGGTGTCTGTGTACTTACTATTTTTTGCATGCTAGCCGATAGATTGGGTTCTGTTTGATTTAGGAATGGCAGTTGGACTTGAGTCTAAGTAAATGTGTCAATGTGTACAGGTAGCATGCCCATATGCTATTCTTCTAATTTATTTACTTCTAAAAAAAATGGTAAAATGAGTAGGTTGCAGAAGAAAGTGGGAAGATACACAATAATTTCATGGTTATATGGAAATTGTCTTTAACTCTCATCTATTTCTTTTTCTTTTTTGGTGAATTCTACTGCAGACAAATCCTTTTGATCTATTTGAAACATTCTTTGGACCTTCTATGGGTGGTTTTGGAATGGATGGATCTGGGTTTGGAACGCGTCGCCGCAGTACTGCTACCAAGGGTGAAGATCTACGGTGAGTCAGAAGCTGATTGGAATAATTTGATCATAAAAATAAAAGCCTACACTAATTTGTGGTCACGGGTATACTTATTAAAAAGGTTTTGGTCACGGGTCTACTTCGTTAATCATGAGGAGGAAACTGTTTCTGATAACTAATATGCATTGCTACCATAGCATGACAGGTAAACTATAGGAAGAGTATAGCCTCTAACCTATCATATAGCAGTGGTGGAACATAGCTCCGTTAGAATGATAATTTGTAGTATCAAGTGGAACTTCTTCGAAATCATGGTTACAATTAGACTTGCTAACCATGCGGGCAAAGCTCATTCTGACAACTGATAGTCTCTTGTAGTTACGTAGTATGATTGGTAAAACTCTGGAACAGCAAAGTCTCTAACTCCAGTTCAAAATAGTGCTGGAGTCTTTATTAGGAATCAGGTGCTATCAGATATTTATATTCATGTTACTGATCTTTATTTACAACCTGAAGAAAAAGCTGAGTATGATATCAGCATACATTTGTGCTTGAAATGGTCTTTACATGAATTGCAGGTTTCCATCTCTTTAACATATCAATCCCCTGACATAAAGAAGTATGCCAAGTTCAAATTGGATTGTGTATACTTGCACAAAATGAAGCGTACAATATTATCCTACGAACAATGTATAGTTTAGAAGCATAAAAGTAGAAATAGGCACTTTCTGATATAAACTTCAAGTTGGCAGATTAAATAATATACTGGCAAGCCTAATAGAGTTCATTTACACTTCAATGCCTTTCAGTTACGACATGACATTAGAATTTTCAGCGGCTATCTTTGGAGCAGAAAAAGAATTCGAGCTTTCACATCTTGAAACTTGTGAAGTTTGTGCGGGAACTGGAGCAAAAGTAGGCTCCAAAATGAGGATATGTTCAACCTGTGGTGGCCGAGGTCAAGTTATGAGGACTGAACAAACACCTTTTGGCATGTTTTCTCAGGTAATAGCGTATAAATCTATTCCTTGGTTGGCTCTTAGATTACATTTTATTTAATTATAAGTTTGTTGGGGTTTCACTTATTATTTCTTTATCACTTTCAGTTGATGACAGAATTAGTTTTCTCTGTTAAAAAATGAGTTACTGGACCATATCCTCTAGAGCATCCTTATCTGATATTACAACATGAGCATGTTTTCAGGAGTCCTGAGTCATTTTTAAGAGAATCAATCTGTTTGCTGTTGCATGTAGAGAGAATCAGCTGCTAACTAGGGGTGTCAAACTTAGCCCATATTAGTATAACCTTCCCAAGCTGTCTAGTTCAGGTGGGTTGGGAATAATTTCATTGATTTAAAAGTTTGTCTAAACTTTTTCAAAAAGTAGAATTATTTTTCGTCGAATATGTTTGTGTTCATCCAGTTTCTCTCTCTATAAAGAAAAGAATATGTTGTAATTAAATTATAAGACGAACAAACAAGCAAATGAAACATGATTTTGAATTAGGCAGATTCGGTTATGACCAAATGTTCGGCCAAATTGACACACTTATCTTGACACAAGTGAACTTTGGGTGGTTTAGGTATGATTGATATGTTAACTCAACCTGTTTTAACCCGCGCAAATTTGGTCCAACTTGCCAATTTGACGCTCCTACCTTAACCGGGTCACTTTTGGAACACTGGGTTTTATCTGAGCACTGTTACCCTGATATTGCCTAGAATTAACTGTGAGGCTGACTGTACATGTTCGAGGAGATCAGGTGGTTTCTGGGTAGTGGTCACAACTCTCTATTTAGGGATAGCTCCACCTTCAAAGAGGCTCAGAAAATTTGTAGAAAGACATACAGTGAAGGGATGACTCAAAGAGGTTTCAATTTCTTTAGCAGTTTTGAAATAATAATGTCTTTCCATCTACTGTGGAGTATTTAGGTAGGCAACACGAAGCGCTTCTGAACTGATAGTGCTAAATCTGTGATTGAAATTAAATATATCTTTTTTTGCAATCAGTAATTGAAATTAAATACATCATACTTAATAGAAATAATTGGGGCTGAATTAAAATCCTTTAGCTTGCTTTTCAAAGAGCTAACATCTAGAATGTGATGATAGTTTTCATTATTGAAGAAACCATGGGTAAGGTGGCCTTAATTTGCATCTTTAGTTGATTTGAAAGTAAATAGTCAAATATAATCTGAAATCATGTAGCAAAGCAATATACATTATATGACATGACTACTACAGATAAATGATGAGTGCCCCAGGTCAGTCTTTCCATGCACAAGGATGTGCTAATGGTTGAGGAATCTGTAAGTTAAAAGATTGCTTGTTTGCCTGGATATTGTTATTGTTCCTCATTGGTTGGGGAATGTGTTGTTTTCTCCTTATATGGTTTTGGGAAACACTTCATGAACTCGTTTTTGGGTTGAGTTATGTCAAGTGTTCATTTTCTTAACATGGTACAGATCTATTGACCCCCATATTATATTATCCACACACTAGATCTCCAGTCCTGAATGTACGAGGAGGTGTTAAGTGTCCTACATTGGTTGATGGAATGAGGTGTTGTCTCCTTATATGATGAGCTAGATTTTGGGGTTAAGTTAGGCCCGAGGTCCAGTTTGTTAACAGATATGATATATTTATTTTACTTTAATCTTTCTGCTGATTGGTTGTTTGTCCTCTAGATTCTAACATAGCCTGGCTTTCTTATCTTCGTTATACGAAATGTATATGTCCATACTCATTGTTACATTTTCCACCTATTTGGACTATATGTAGGTTTCTGTCTGCCCAAACTGTGGTGGGGATGGTGAAATGATTTCTGAATCTTGTCGTAAATGCTCTGGCGAGGGGCGGATTCGAGTGAAGAAAGACATAAAAGTCAAGATACCTCCTGGAGTGAGCAAGGGCAGTATCCTCAGAGTTGCTGGTGAGGGTGATGCAGGTCCTAGGGGGTATGTATTCAAGCTATACAGTTGCATATCTATAACAGTCGTCTGCATAATTGTCCTGGGTTATGGTCAGTAAAACATCTCTGGGATTCTTGTATGTTCAGTAAAACATATTAACAATTATTTGCATGATTTTTCTTCTTTAGTCTTTTGGAATCAGTGTAATGGCTTTGTAATTATCCCCGGTGTTGTTAAACAGGGAGGACCTACATACACACCTCCAGCGTGGTAATCTTTCATCCAACTGTAGCTTCTTAACTGAGTCAAATTTGAGCGTTATATTCCAAATATGCTTTGCTCACTCTGGAAAGAGAAAGAGAAATAGGAAGCTGCTGCCTTGACTCCTTTACAGATATGTGCTGTTACTTTGCTATAAATAAGTAAACCCGTAACAACACCTCAAAAGATGAGAATAAGAGAAGAAAAGTTTGAGCTTCCCTTCTTAAACTTATGCTCACTATTTCCATGTTCATCCATTCAACCATGCTTATAATTTTCCAAATTCCATCTGTCAAATACCAGGTTGATTTAAAAAAGGGTTGGTTTGGGTTGGGTTAGAGAAGATAAAAGATGAAGAATGATAGTATGAGGCTTTTCATTGCTATTAAGATGATTTCCGATTTAAGAGTGTATTATAGTGTGTTTAATTTTAGTTATTCTACACAATCAGTGGGGCATTTAGTGGGCCATTTCTGTCGAAGTGATGTCACGATCTTGGTAAATGTAGGGGTTCCCTGTTGCTGTTTGGACATGTGAGGAATGCAAGTGACATTATTTGATTAAAACTAGCACGTCTGGATGACTATTCAGCAAATACTCCTTAGTCCTTGACTATGTTGCTCAAATCCTCCAAATTACAGCACTCATCTCATATTCTCAAAAGATGCATTATTTGGAGGATCCGAGCAACATAGGTCCTCCGTAATATAGAAATCTCTAATCAGTTTAAAAGGACTCCTAGCAAATATTGAACCTAAAGTAAGTGTACAAACATGACTAAGATTTAATTCCAAATACTTTGTATCACCTCTATGGACCTTTTGCTTCCATTTTTGTTTTATTATTCTCTAAGTCGTCTAAGTCTGCACAGATTGCTAGAGATTCTAGATCTTTGAGAAAATTTCCTTATATGTGATTTTAGGTCTACCTCGTCTTCTACTAACATCTTGAATCATCATGGTGTGAAACCTCCGGACTGGTGCACATGGAGGTCTAAAAAGGATATGATAACCATCTCAGGGGGGCATGTCATTTTGTCTTCTGTGTGTGTTATTTGCACTTTCTGTCGGATGTGATAATTTGCCAAGAGAGCCAATAGCCTAATATATCTGTCCTATCATTTATTATGCAATCGCGTAGTACTCTTCTGCTGGGCTTTACATTGTCAAATGTGAATATGCTAATCATATAGAAGAAAAGGGAAAGATATAAACCTTTAATGTGAATTCTGAGACACCGACTCTATCACTTGTTTATTGATCTTTGTCTTTGTTTTGCAGGGCCCCGCCTGGAGATCTTTTTGTTTATCTTGACATTGAAGAGATACCTGAGATCCAAAGAGATGGCATAAATCTGCTTTCAACAGTTTCAGTTGGTTATCTAGATGCTATACTTGGGGCTGTTGTTAAGGTAAACATTTACATGATTTTTGCCTTGACTCCCGTCATATTCTGATAAGAATGTGAAATAAGATAGTGATGCACTATAGCCTTATGTCTCTATACCGCTACTATAATTGTCTCAATGTAAATAATTATGTTATCCTCAAAATAAAGTATGTGTCGATGTATTGTTTAAGAGCCTAGGTGAATCAGGAATTCTGATATTTTAGTATGAACCCAAATTGGTTCTCATAGAAATTGGTGCTTGCTCCTTTCAAATGAGCCTCTTTGAAGGAATTTCCCCTATCAGATCCAGGGGGTTCCTACAGGGGCTAGGTACATCTACTAACTACTTGAAATATGAAACAGAAATGAATAAAAGATTCTGAAAGTTTCACAAGTTTTTAAATTTCTTCACACAACAAAGGCATGATAGTGCTGTACTCAACTTCTCCTGCCATGTGACAAGATCCTTCTATATTCTGTGTTTGTCCGCTTGGAAGATTAGTCTTTCTTCCTCGGTGAAAGAGGGAAAGAAGGTGTGAGAGAAAGAACTAACGCCTGGCATCTGTAAAGGCCACCTCATTTTGCCCTTCCTTCAATTGCCTTTATTGACATCATATTTCTTAGTGCTTTTGCTTCTCCTGATGTTTTCATCAGGTTAAAACAGTGGAAGGGATGACCGATCTCCAGATTCCTCCAGGCACTCAACCTGGTGATGTGCTTGTCTTGGCAAGAAAAGGTGCACCGAAGCTGAATAGGCCATCAATACGTGGCGATCATTTGTTCACGATTAAAGTTAGCATACCAAAACGCATCAGGTGTGCGAGTGTTAAGTCGTAGATGATGAACTAATTATACATGTCAGTTCTCTTATCTACTTGGTTCTTCTTTATTTTGCAGTGTGAAGGAACGTGAATTGCTTGAAGAACTTGCATCCCTAAATAAGGCATCAAGCATTCGTACAAAACCTCGACCAACAGTTCAGCCAACTGGTATATGACTACTTCTTGATTCATCATTTCCTCAATTATCTATACATGAATGGTAGAGATAATGAATAATGCGTTGTGATTTTTCACTTGTTTGGCTGATGGTATATATCCTTCCAAATAAATGCTACCTCTTATCTTGTCTGGAAGTAGACCTGGGTCATCTGTTCTGCAAGCGATGCTATTGATAAATATGAATATGAATCATTTGCGAGTTCAGTTATAGGTTTTGGCTACTTTAACAGCAACAGCAGGAAGTGTGGTATTTGGATAGTCACTTAAACACCCCCAGATCAATCACTACGTTTGACTTGGAAATTTGTGAGATTCTTCAAGAAGTTAAAACTGATGCAAAAATCAAAATACGGAGAACAAGAGGAATATATTATTTTACTTGTGAATTGAGAAATGAAGTAATTGATTCCACCCCATACTATATAAACAGTGTACCCAGACTTTTGTGTAAGCGGGTTCAGACAGATATTAAATTCATCGACATTGTCTAACCGTACAAGTAATAATATTGGACATAACAAACGAGTTTTAACCTCCGCTCTTTATGTTGTTTCATAGCAAACCTCATAAAGTATTTGCCCGCTACTCTTTATTTTCTTTTGAGGTCGTGCTCTAAAAAGCAAAAAACAAAAAAAATAACAACAAATCTTCATATGTGCTTTTTAAAGTATAACCATTTATTAAAACTTCAATTTTTATTTTTAAATTCTTTCACTTCACTAAAATCAATTCAATCTTTACCAAAATACTAAGTAATCTTCTTATTTAATTTATTAAATCTAACAATTAACAAGTGCTAAAACATTTATTAAAATCTAATCAGTGCTATCACTAACAATATAAATGATTAAAAGCTAACATAAATTAAAGATTTTAATAGTATAAGAATTTAACAAATAATAAAACAAGAAACTGTGAGGATGCAACGACGAGGAATAGGTAAGTAAAACAGTTTAAAATATTTGAAACATTCAAATTAAAAAGGTGTAAATTTAAGACATAAGAATATTTGAAGAAAAGATAAAATGTTATGAAACAATAAAAGAAGAAGAAGAGTATTGCAGAGAAAAGTAGATGGAGAATATTCTTATTGATTTTGGGATGAATTACAATAGAATAGAACCCTCTATTTATAGGGAGAGGGTGACTTAGCCACCAAGCAATGAACCCTAGAATCTCTCTAAATATAGACATTCACCATAAATAAAATTCTATTTATAACGCTCCCCCTTGAATGTCTACCTTAACTAAAATAAAACTCAGTGGGAAAAAAAATTCTAGAGAAGGAAAAAGAGTACACATATCTAACAGTACGCCTTTTGGTTGCCTCGTTAAAAACCTTGCAAGGAAAACCCAGTGGGACAAAACCTTGTAAGGGAAAAAGAGTACAACGCGTATTAACTCCCCTTGATGAGCATCAATTCACATCCTTAAGCATTTGCATTCCAATCTTGTGCACCATCTTCAAAAGATCGTTGGTAGATATTTGATAAACAATATCAGCCATATTAACTTCAACGAATTTGTTTCACCTTGAAATCATCCCTGATAGATGTATTGTCTTCATATGATCTTGTTGGAATCATCATTTCAATATCTTCACACAGGGGTGAAAACTCTTGCTATCATATTATCATGCTTATAGTTATAGCAAGATACATATGTGCACAAATTGCATTTAGGATATAGTACTTCATGACCATGAATTCTATATGCTTTAAGCAATTTAAATCCTTTAAGGATTTTTAAGTCATATAATCCATATAATAGACTTTAGATGCATGTCAAGTTTTCATGTCATGCTAGACATATAAGATATCAAAAACTGATTGCACATACCATTGACTTATACTTTCAAGTATTTGAACTACATGTTCAAAACTACATGTCTTTCGTATGAAACCAATTCTATTCGAATTGTTTCTCCAGACTTAAGATCCTCATATATATTTAGTGCTATAATCAATGTCGTCGACAAATATTTTATATCGGTTCCGACCTCCTTTTTTTTCTTCATAAAGACATAACATAGAGATCTCTTCATTCATATATTCAGGTACCTGAATCTCTCTGAGATTTTATGAAGTGTTATGTCATATGATCTTCTAGATCACTTGCCTCCTTTGTTATGATCGTCCTTCTAGGACTTAATAGGAGCATTTGCAATGAGAATATAGTTACTTTCTTTGGGTCAGCAAATGCATCTGGCATGCTTTGCAATAAATTGCACATGAATTATCCTTTTATGCACTTCAAGTTCATATTATTTTATTCGGGGATCTAGATGTATAAATGATAATTCATTCCATGTAACTTTTTCCCAACTGTTGTATCTTGTCTCCCCCTCATGTTAGAAAAACTAACTTGTTTCCTCAACTTTGAGAACCCATCTTTGTGTGTTATGGTGTTAATCAAAATATACACCGCACATCAATAATAATAAGATGAAATTATTTGGTTCCTGACCCTGAACCACTTGTGAGGGGAGAACATAATATATTTTGGTATATAACGTATATCAAATTGATATAGATAACTTTGTTCTCATAAGCAATTGTTTAGCTATTAAGTGGAGGCACTCAATAAATTATTTTGCTAAATCAACTGTGATGTAAACCAACTTATCAAGATAAACTATCTTGAATAAAAAATCTGGAAATTATGCTCTAAATCAAATTATTGAGCAAGTTACCTCGCAAACACCGTGTTGCGGGTTAATAATAATCGCACATGTAACCATCTCATAGATGCATCTTATGTGGTATACATGGCAGGTGAATGGGCCAATATTCACCTTTGATATTTCCAGCATTCATGGGATTCAATCCCAATTTTAGTTGGTATATTAATTAATGAGAACATACAACATAAGAGAATTCGTAAAGAACTTTCTAGTTCTTTAATATTTACCCATGTGAATTCTCTTTTATTTTTGCACATCATACTTGAAATTAACATGGCTAAACCAATTATGCCAACTGGATAAATTATCAATATTGATAAACTTCAGGTTTACACCATGATGTGTGCAATTATGAATAAACTCCAAGTTTATTATGATATGGGTTTTTATATCAATAAATATTCACTTCATTATGGTATTCTTTTGTTTATGTAGTACAAATTGGAGAATAAAGCGGGTAGCTCTTCACATGCATATTACCCAGTTACAAGTTGTAGTAATAGAAGATATTAAATTTTTCTTTTATTTATAGTCTCAATATAATCAACCGCTTTCGCGTATACTTTGGAAACTGAATAAGTTTCTTTGAGACTTACTACAACACAATACCATATTGGTAATTAATTGTGTTTCTCCAAAATAGTATAATTGGTTGAGTTCTCAATTAATTTTGTAGTACCACATATTCATCAACACCCATATGGTGAATATCTCTTTTAAAGAGAAAGTTATACCATTATGGTTATGGTCAAAATTGTATGCAAGATCTGTTTCTTGCATATTACTGTTGTCTTTTAATAATCACAATGCCAAAATATTTTGGCATACAATCAATGACCATTCATGCCATAATAATGACATTATTTTCTTGTATCATCTCAAACCTCCTTCTAGAGGTGAGTGTGGTATATTCATTTCCACTAGCACGTTCATATTCTTCCAAGAATGAATATGTATTCGTAAATCAGATGTTGTCACATTCACATCATGAATGGACCAAAATCATCTATATGTGCTCTACAAAATCTCATGTCAAATCGATGACAAATATTTTTCACAGAGTGAAAGATTATTTTGAGAATCCTTATTGTTCTCATTACCACAAATGATGACGATTATAATTTCGTCTATTGCCACGTCCATATCCATTGATACATTCATAGTAATAATTTTGTCTTTTTTCAGACTTATCACATACTGCTATCACATTCTCTTAAGGGAATGAGAATGGAGCAAATTCAATGGGACGGGTTTCCACTTCTTGTGCTCATAATCATACATGAATTTGATCATGGCAAGACATAGAAATTTTACCACTTCAGGTGGTTATAATTTCTACAAACTCCATTAGAGTTGTAATCAAAATTTATTGTCTTTGCTTGTATTTAAAATTAAATTCCAGAATAAAAGAGAAAAATACGGTAATATACACACCTTAAATCCAGAATTTAATCATGAAGGAAATTCATAGAACAATTGACAATCATTATGATCAATCCCAAAGCTTCTACTCAATTGATTAGAGTCTCGTGCTGATAACGTATTATAAAACAATAAAAGAAGAAGAAGGTATTGCAGAGAAAAGTAGATGGAGAAAATTCTTATTGATTTTGGGATGAATTACAATAGAATAGAACCCTCTATTTATAGGGAGAGGGTGACTTAGCCACCAAGCAATGAATCCTAGAATCTCTCTAAATATAGACATTCACCATAAATAAAATTCTATATATAACATAAAGAAAATTATTATATATGTTTAGACATCCGTAGTCCAGAAGTAGTGAACACAACAGGAACCATTTTTAAAATAAGAACAAAGGACTTGTAAAAAAACTGTAGGAGCACGGACTCGAACTTGAGACTTGCAAGTAAAAATGACCCCACTTGAGCCATCACGCCAAAGACTTTGTATCTGTCAAGCGTGTTCAACTTTTTGTTTTTGTACGTGATCTGTATCTGACCAAAATAATTCTCCCATAAAAATAATGATATTTTTGACGAAGCGGGTTCAACTGACCCCGCTTGAAACAATGTGGGTCCACCCCTGTATATAAATTATCCTTCACGTTTTCTTAACCTAGAATATTAGTGGGAGAGGAAATCCTTTTCTGAGAGTGCTCTCGGAAACAATATAGAGCACTTGATTAGGAACTACAGTCAGGTGTCAGAACCCTTCCTCTGTACAACTATCCCAAAAAAGTACTTTTCACTCCGAGGATAAGAAAATCATGTTCTGAATCACTCTCAGTGTCAAAGGTTAGAAATTCTCCTCACTCAAAAGAAAAACACCTGTTGCTCTAAATGTAGGAACATCATAATCAGGTTTGAGTAAACCAAAAGCCATTGCGCTTGGGTGTCAAAATGAATATCTCATTTATAGTCGGTCCATTCCTCTAGCATAAGAATTGACCCATGTTATTCTGCTTTGCAGCTAAAACTACAGAAACTCCAGTAGATTCAGATTCAAGTACAGCAAAAACCGATGAGTCATCGGAAGATCAAGATGATCCATTGAAGAAGTTAACAGATTTTGCTGGGTAAATTTCTTGACATTACTCTTTAGTTAGGATTTTTCTTAGAAAGTATTTAGTTCTTGGTAATTTAGCCTTCACGTGAAAGATGCTTATGTTGTTAGAACCATGGAAATCACCTGTTTCCGGTCTAAAACCATGGTAGAGTCCATGATCATTAACCATATAAGTGGTTTTGCTGTATGAATTGCGCAAACGTGCTAGGAAATACACATTACTTACATTCACAGAGTGTAGAATGAAAATTTACTTACAGGCGTATATTTTAGCTCGGTGTTGGACTTTTTGGTTTACCAATAAAATTTGCACCATCCCTGACACTTCTTATTAGCATCGCCCTTAATTCTGCAATAATTAATCTTATCCACGTTTTGGTTTAGTTTCCTTTAAAATTCAAGCGCTCTAATTTTTTTTCCTGTTTCCATATTTCTTGCTCCTAAGTAAAGGCTTGTGATTGCAGGTCTGTCGTGAATGGTGCACTAAAATGGTTAAGAGACAACCTGTAATCCTCAGTTATGGGATACTGCTTCATACAATCCTCTTTTATACAGCAGTGGCATTGAATTTTATGATCCTCAGAATAGCCTCTATAGGATCTTGCGGCGCTTTATTTCTTAGAATAACTTTTTGTTGATTCTGCCCGAGAAATTGAATCCAGCCACCCATTTTTTTTTAGGAAACCTGATTCTTCGCCCTTGTAAATTTTGGCAATACTTCTTCTCCACCTCAAACAGGTCCATGAGTTGGATTCTAACAGCTAAATTGTTATGTAAGAAAATTTGTATGTCACAAGCATTTACCAGAAACGAAGAAAAGTCGGAGCATTTTGGATTTCCTTGTATCTTAATGGAGTTAGATTGCTATTTGCTTCTATCTTTGTCCATTAAAAATGATATGTCGTGGGCAACACAACACTCATGAATCTGAGGGAAACACGAAATTCATCTGATGTTTGCAATTGTTAAAAAATATTTGTATTTTACTTATAATACTAGTACTTCACAGGACATAAATGTGAAATACCGATAATTATCTTTGCATCGTTGCAGATAAAATACGTCACAGCCACATAACTTTGTATTACGATGCCCAAGCATTTATCTCCAGTGCATCAACAGACTGTTGAAAGTGCAAATGTATGAGGTGGACGAATGTCTAAAACCCAAATAAATCATCATTAATAAAGCATGAACTTCTGATATCTTTTGCGGATATCCTGCCTAATTGTAAGTTAAGTAGATTTATCAGTTCCCAAACTCGGTGTTAAAAAGGCATCACCGTAATAATTGCGTCCCCCATAATACTTACCGTCCAATTGTTGGTGACAGAGTTTCACCACGCATGCTTTACACTGAAAAAAGAAACCACAAGATTATGCGAACTACTCGTCCGTTGATTCTTATTTGTCCACTACGCTAAAAATATATTTTTATTTTTACTTGTTTACTATATTAAATCAAGAGAAAGACATTTTTCTTCCTTTATGTTTAACCTTATCATTAACTAACTACTCATTGCCCGAACCATTTCCAAAGACTTTTGTAAATGCTATCATTATTGTGGGTTCGTCTATTTTCTACGGGATTACAAAGTCAAAAAGTAAACAACTAAGAATGAATGGAAAATAATATCCGACCATTTTGAATAGGATAAAACAATTGGATACAAATTACAGAGTTCCTAACGCCCATTGCCCAGACTTTCCATTTTGGTACAGTCCAAGAGATTGCTGCAGAGCTTGTTCATCCAAAAATGAGCGTGATTGTTACTCATTTGAATCTGCACGACTTTGCAAAAACAAGAGCACAGCGGCAACAACCACCGGAGCTGATATCATCAAGAGAGCCAATGTAATATTTGGTCTTGTTATCTCTGGGAAAATAACGCTTCCGTACTTTATTGCAGCTCCTCCCGCGACTGAACCCACTCCCAGTTTTAATAAGAAGTTTACATCCTCCTGCTTGTCATAAAATTTCACAACGACATCACAAGTGAGTAGTAGTATGTATAGTAAAATAAGATACAATAAATTACTCGTTAAGATTTTGAAAATATTGCCAAAATGATCGTGAAAATTGTGATTAACGAAAAGTTAATTGTTCTGAGAGGAGTTAAAGGGAGAGACTGCGGGTAACCTGTGGTAGGAAAGGAAAGCCAGATTCATCAGTGCTGGGATTTGGTTGGTCAGTTTTGGGGTCGGAAGCTCGGGCAATTATGGGCGTCTTAAAGGAGGAAATCATTCTGAAAGATTTTGGAACGAGGAATCCAACGGATGCAGACGGCGGCTGAAGAGACGACATTGAGGTTGAGGCGGAACATCTCGCCGGAAATTTTGTAGGTCGCAATGCGGCAGCCTCCATGTCCTCAAATGGCAACTGAAGCTCCACTGGAAGTATACACAACAGCCACATAAATTTAACTACTACTCATCCAATGGGCAGAAGAGGGCGTTGACTAAGCTTATAAAACTTGCTTATAAGCCGCTCCTAAACTAAAATCAGTTTTGGTCGCCCAACTTATGACTTTTTAACACTTTTAGTTTGATCATGTTTTTACTAGTTTATTCTTTATAATATTTTTTAATTCACAAAATATTTTTTCTAAAATAAATTTTCTAACTTTCTCTTCGTTCCATATTCGTTTTTCATCCTTTTCTTTGCAAAGAAACTTCTTAATTTATAATCTTTTATGAAAATTTTAAGGATACTTTAGTCATTTTAATAAAAGAACTGCTTATCAGTATTTTTCTGCTAAACACATTAATTGCTTATTATCAGTATCTAAACACGTAAATGCTTAATTAAAAAAAGCAGTTTTAGCACTTAAAAATGCTTTTCGGCACTCCAAACTTATCAGCTATTTACAATCAGGTAATCCAAATGGGCTCTAAACTACAAATTAAATAAACAAATTGAAAGTTCTACAAAGTACTCTCACTGGTTCATTTTAAAGTGGAAATAAGAAAAACTATTTTAGTATGTAATCTTAAATATATCATGAAATAAAATAATGTTATTAAAGAAAAATAAAAAATTAAATTATTTTTAAATATAAAAAGATGTCATTTTCGAAGGGGAGCCTTAAAGCAACAATAAAATTGCCTCCATATAATCTATATGTCACTGGTTCGAACTATTGAAGTAGCCATCAATGTTTGTATTAGGGTAGTCTATCAAATTCACACCCTTGGGGTGTGACCTCTTTCATAATCATTCGTGAACGCGAGATGCTTTCGTGTAAAGTGATGTTATTTTTCTAAAAGCTAAAACGAAAATAGTATAGCATAAAATGAAATAGACTGAATAAAATTTATGAAATATAAAATACAAAAATGAATAATCCTTTTTACAAATTTATTACATAAGATAATTAGATTTTTGAAATATCCAATTTTCAAATCTATGAAACATGAAATATCATAAATTTCCAGATAAAATATAATTATCAAGTACTAAATTATCATCGCATTTTCTATATGATATAATGTGATTATTTTTGTTATTAAATTTTATGATATCAAATAGGAAAACATAAGAATTTTCATCAATTTATTTTTTGATTAGATCAAATTATGTTATTTTATTATTTTCGCATTTATCTCATATATTTCGAAAACAGTATCATAAAAGATTCATTATATAAAAGGTTTAAACAATTTATTTTGAAATACTTGAAACATATATTTAACTGAATCACAATTTTAGTTCTTTTCTTATATTTTCTGAAGTCCGGGCCCACAAAAACAAGAGGGTTTGGTTCGAGTTCTCGGATCCGGGTCCCAAAAAGACGGCGTTCCTCCTCTCTCTCGCCAAAGCATATCCTTATAAGTAAACCGTTGGAAACTCTACCGCCGGTGAACAAATTTTCCTCCCCAAAGACGTATCCCTAATCAATTTCCTTTCACGAACTTAATTTCCCTTAAGCGCCCAGTGTTCTAGTTGTTGATTTCAGTAATCGATCTGCTTCTAGATCTACGTCAAGATGGTGTTAGCACAATTAGGGGGGAGCATCTCGCGTGCTCTCCAGCAGATGAGCAATGCCACAATCATTGATGAAAAGGTCCTTAACGAATGCCTCAATGAGATCACACGTGCTCTTCTCCAGTCCGATGTTCAATTTAAACTTGTCCGCGATATGTCCACAAATATCAAAAAAATTGTCAATCTTGATGATCTTGCCGCTGGACACAACAAGCGTAGGATCATCCAAAAGGTTCAATATTCTTTTTCTTTAATGTTTTATATCAATTGCTGAAACTTGTTCATAACAGGCTGGAAATTAACTGCATTTTTTCAATTGTATAGGCTGTGTTCGATGAGCTGTGCAAGATATTGGACCCTGGGAAGCCTTCATTTACACCAAAAAAAGGGAAACCTAGTGTTGTAATGTTTGTTGGTTTGCAAGGTGTGTTCATTTGATTTTCTACTTTGGTTTTATGTTCTATGGTATTGTAGCAAAGCTAATACCCGAGCTAGCATTAATTTTTTATTATAATGAAGAATTACAAGCTCGTTTATTTTTCAATTACAAGAGGGTACTCTTATTTATTTGTAATTCCGGGCAGGGTCTGGAAAAACTACAACATGTACAAAATATGCTTTTTACCACCAGAAAAAAGGGTGGAAGCCGGCTCTAGTGTGTGCAGATACATTCAGAGCTGGTGCATTCGATCAATTGAAGCAGAATGCAACAAAAGCTAAAATTCCCTTTTATGGAAGGTATATCCTCTTCTGAATCTGTTAGTTTTATTCTTATCTCCACAGTACACACGTTTAGAAGCATGATGCTCATTCTACTATCTTATGAGTATTGAGTAATGATGATCAATGTTACTCTGTTCTTCTTCCTGACAGAATAAGCTGAAATTAGTCATTTTTTGCTTGGTTAATTCAATCAATAAACCATGCCATAGGTCCATAAGAGTTGCCAATTTTAATGCATTTAGATTAGGTAATTGTGGGATGAAATCTGAGAAGCATTGCCTGGTGCATAGTGAAAATTGAATGGTACTTTGCTAAGAAATGTTACCAGATTAAAGTTGATTAGCTGCCGGTTGCCCAAGAGTCATCATCTACACTACTAATAAATCTCAATCCGTTAGAGTAACTAAATGAGAGTTTTTGACCAATATCATCCCTATTGTTGCACTCTAACTTTCATTACATCCTTATACTATCTCACATAACAGGCAACATCCCTTAAGTTTTCAAAACTTATCCAAAAAATCCCTCTGTTAACTTTTTCATTTTATTCTAATGGAACATGGACTTCATGTATCCTTCTTTGTTTTCCTTACAAAATTTTGCACAAACTCTTTAGAAAACAAAAACAATTGCTGAATGACATAAAATCAGCAACACTGTAGCACCTTCTTCAAAAAATTATTGCTCTTAGCTCTTTCTCAATCGAGTGAGCTTCCTTCGTATTTCTGGAAAGTCGGCGATCTCTTTTCGAAGTTCAGGAATGTAGTCAATGAAAGCAGCATCAACCAAAACGCAAACCTTATTTAATTTGTTGCTAAGTGACATTTCTATATTTCGACAAAACTGCTTCAACATTGGGTGGTATTTTCCAAACTGCCGATCAAAATCATCACTTCATACTCCTTAGCTTGCATCTCTTTGTTAGTAGCTAAATTAAGACAAACTGACCATACAAATAAGTTGAGTTTTCTGGGAAGATGAGGGAAAAGAAGAAGAATACAAACTGGGCTTTAGTTCTTTAATTCACAGAATTGTGTCCTTTTTCTTGACGAAGTGCCATATATCTGCAAGGTTTAATACAGGGTTTTCTGCTATGTATTTCTACAGTCTCATTCTCCGGATTGAGCTTTCCCTTTCCCATTCTTTTTCTCTCGTAAGCTCACTGAAAATATGAGAGGAATCTAGTGATATAGGTTGGATCTGCGAGGTTTTGAATGTAAAGAGAAGAAAGGATAAATCTTCGGTGAAGATGCTTAGGTTTAATGTTCAGACAATGCTTTTTTTATTCTTTGAACAGATTGTTGGAAATTTTTTAAAAGAAGTAAAAAGTTGAAGAAGCACTACACGTGACAAAAGAGAAACTTCCGTTAGAAAAGATGGAAAAATAAACGGAGGGATGTTTTTGGCCAGGTTTTGAATACTTAAAAGATGTTTTCTGTTAAGTGGGATACTATAAGGATGTAATGAAAATTAGGTGAAACAATAAGGATGATATTGGTTAAAACTCAACTAGATGATCTATCTATAGTTACCTCTGTCTCTAGTAATTAGTTTCTCCACTACACTTGAGCATTCTAAATAGTTTCTCCACTACACTTGAGCATCCTACTTCCTAGTCCACTATCTATCATTTGTAAATCCTTTTTCATGACCGTGAAAGAACACCGAAAATTTATTCTAAACTTTTAGGCATCGAGTGTGCCCCATTAGCTAATGATATGGCACTCTGAGTGGTAGAAGGGAACAAAAAAAGCATATTGCATAATTCACTGTTGAATTTCTGGCCATCAAATTGCCTCTCCTATTTGGCAGAAAATAGTCTACCTTTCGCGTCAACGTTTTCTTTAAAATTCTTTTAAGCCGAATTCTCCCCAAAAGGTAAAGGAGGAGGGAGGAAAAAGCCATTCCTATTCTTATTAGGTTATTGGGATATAAAGTTTACCTGCTTTGAGTAGAATCTACCGTTTTTGTGTCTCTTGCTGAATAGGACTGAACCTGTAATTAACAATCAAGTCATTTTGAACTGCATCATTGTTCTAATCAGCACTTCAGGCCATCTTGATTAAACTGAATAAATGTTTCTGCAACAGCTATACAGAATCAGACCCAGTGAAAATAGCTGTGGACGGTGTAGAAACATTTAAGAAGGAAAATTGTGATCTAATAATTGTGGATACCAGTGGGCGCCACAAACAAGAAGCAGCTCTTTTTGAAGAGATGCGACAAGTTTCTGAAGCAACGGTATGTTTTACTCTTCTCTAATATTTGTTTCCTTTCATTAGATGCTCATCTTATCGTTTTCTCCAGAAACCAGATCTCGTGATATTTGTTATGGATAGTAGTATCGGACAAGCTGCTTTTGATCAAGCTCAAGCATTTAGGCAAAGTGTTGCAGTTGGAGCCGTGATTATTACTAAGATGGATGGCCATGCAAAAGGAGGTGGTGCTCTAAGTGCGTAAGTATTTAATGACTTGGATGTAGCCTTAAAGTTTTTTCTTCTTATTGTTCTCGGTAAGCTGCCAAATATGGAACATATATTAAGCTCATGATGTCAGTTCTTTAAGATTAGAAACTTCACCTATGGTAGCTCAAAGTTGCAGGCTGCTGCAGCTGTTGTTGCTTTTGGGAGTGATACAGGCTGTTAATTTGCTTCTTTCTGGTTATGAGTTCCTGTCTCATAAATACTCTAGTAAACCATTAAGATACTCTGCAGAAAATGATTATTTTTTATCCAACAAGATCTAGAAATTGATGCTGAACAATTGA